ATGTATGTTTATATCTATCTAGCTGCATAAGGTTACCGTGTATGGAGATATAAGTTAATAGAGAATTTCACGGTGATCTCACCAGTTGACGTAGCATTCTCGTGTGATACTGTAGCAAAAATGAAGTTGTATACAAAGTAATATGAAATTTGCCCACAGAATTATATATATATATACATATACATATATATATATATATATATAACTAGCAACTTGCACAATCTACACCTGCATCTATGTATTTATATGTGTATTTCATAATCATGTGTATTTTCAGATTAACACCAGTCAGATGATGGTTGCAGTTCCTTCCTGATTGTATACCCTTGTAGGAACAAAAAACAGAACGAAAAATATATAGGATATTTTTGTATTGATATGTATGTTTGTGTGCTCGACTACCTGCTGCCCGCGAATACAATCCCGCATACCTGTTTATATTGAGTGTATAGTAATATTATTTCTGCATAGATGATTTCCGTATATATATGTATATGTGTATTTGGAAGTGTCATACTATGCTTATATCTTCTATGTTGGTGTACGTGAATACACTGGCACATGTCCTGACCAGAAGACGGTTCCCCAGGACGGGTAGGGAGAAATTCAAATCTATATCGCGAATTCAATTTAATAGATCAGCATTCTGACAGCCCGGGGAAACCGATTGCTTGCAGGAAATGGCTCACATGATCCGCAACAAGTTGCAAAACATTCATTAGGCGTCGGCTGCATGTGTAGGTCAGTCACTGAGTGTAGGAATTTTTTATTTATAGTAAAAGCAATCCTTTGTAAACTACACTTCCTCGTTCTTATAATCGTATTCAAGTAAATTTCTATAGTACTGATAAGCGTCTGTGAAACCATCAATGCCCTTCAACTCCGCGCACTGAGGTAGGCATGCCAGTCTGGTGAACCCCAATCCGTCCCAAAGCCGGAGAGACGCTTCATTAGAAGCGAACACCAGATTAAACAAGCAACCTCGGTATCCAAGATCCTTTGCCAGTCTACAGTATAACTTACCCATGAGCTTAGCAACACCCCTTCGTCGCGCCATTGGATTAGTGATAAAGCCACCGTTGCAGATGCCAGAGCATCGGTCCGGAAAATTGGGCTTCACGTAAAAGCAACCTAGAATGGCGTCTTTGCGTAAGTCGACTGTACCAAGATCTGTGCCAGTCGATGCATTCTCTACTATTGTCGAGTCTGTTGCTTTCGTAAATTTTTCTGGTACGTCACATACGCGCACAACAAAGGCTGCGTGCGATAAGAAGTAGCATCTAAAGGCATCTACAGAGTCGTAAGCGTGCATAAATGGCCAGGACTGACCCTCGACTATAATCTGGTTCATAAGTGTGAAGCCTTGTTCATATTCATCCTCTCGAAAGAAGTCAAGCTCGACAGCCGTGCCATCCTTCAACGTTTGGCGCAGAGGTAGATATGGTAACAGTTCGGCACCAATACGTCCATCACCCGGAACAGTACCACCGTATGCAGTAGTCATATTCAATTAACGTGAGAATAATTAACATGTATTCGACAACAAAATCTAACCTACGTTATGTACTTTTCAAGTATGTGAAATATTTAAATAGTGAACATACTCAATAACGTCCAAGTTTGAGAAGCTGGCCAGTGCCCAATCGAGCCTCAGGCCCACAGCCTACATATAATATACAAATACACATAAATATACATATATACAGTCGCGATTTTTCAAATTGCGATGTATGTATTTATATATATTTTTATTTATGTTCCGAGTCATTTTGTTCGCTGGAATGACGTCATTGCACATCATTCAAATGAACTCTATCCCAGTACCCACCCTCCGGCGTCCGGCCTACAAATACTAAAACAAATGCAAATATTTTCAAACACCAAACACTACAGGCAATTTCACTGACAATAGTGCGATACTAGGTAAAATAATTGAATGATATAAATAATGTTCTACGGACGTATTCGTAGTTCGTACAGATAAAAAGTATACTTATTATTTCTTAAGTAGAGGCACACTAGTGACTACGGATTAGGAGGTCTATCTACAAAACAATACAGCTATGAGAGATGAGTCAGTGACAACTAAAGATATATTTATTTTCGTTTTACATACATACAACTCGCAACTCGCAAGTCACAACTCGACAACTCAACTCTGAAAGCGTCTATTTATCATTATTGTAGACCAAGGCTCGTGTGGATGTGAAAGGACTCTCATTGCGGATTTCGCCCATCCTATTTAGAAGCCTAAATTTATACGAGGGTTCCTCAGATACAACTAAACACACAAAACACGGATACATATTCTACATACCATATGTACGCAATCTTTTCAATACCACAGGCCACACAACTAAACACACAAAACACGGATACATATTTTACATTTGTACGCAATCTTTCCACTCACTCCACTCACTCACTATTTTATTAGTATTTAGTATTTACCAGTTATGACTATTAGGCAAATTTAATCCACACAGAGCGTATATTCATACATAGCCTTGAGCCTTCAATTGAACAAGAAGGCTTTTTTTTTTTAAACAGTTTGTTAAAATCGGTTTTATAGAGGCCCATGATATTTAAAATACAATATTTACATGAGGTAGCCTAATAATATGTCACGTATAGGCAAATCTAAAATCTTGTACAATTTCACGTTCCGTCGCGGTTCAGCCCAGCCAGAAAGTAAACAAGAAATGTAGTTAAGTCAATTGCACCAGCTTCCATGTTACACCTTGAAAAGAATTCACGCATACACTCATTTAACGACGCAATATAACTAGCAACATCCCGTATCCTTTTGCCATAGCCAACATTAGCAACACAGCTATCTGGTGTTCAATAAGTGTATTGTAGTACCATCTCGCTTTCATGTACCCATGGAGATAATAATAATAATAATGACGGCTTTGCTTCGATTAAGGCTATCCGAGCGTTTGATACGGAATTGCAAAAATCCTATTTTACGTATCGGTCGATAATCGTAATATAAAAAAAGGTTCTGTAATAATATTATAATATTTACGTGTTTAATTTAAATACTCCTTCTCCTATCGTTGTTTTTAACCCAGTTTCGTGATTTGGATAATGTACCGTGAGATAAATTCATACTCTTTTGAGATCGGCCTAGGGATTTATAGCTGACGTTTCTTATACCTATAATGCAATACGATTTGCATATTAGTAGTTATTTATTTGCTTGGATAGCACATTGATGAGCCATTTGTATAGTCAAATTTATTCGCGTATTCGATTTTTCGAATGGATTTTGCAATGCCTGAGATTAATAAGCATACTCGTAGTTTTGTTAGTGAGAAGCATACTGGTAGTTCTATTGGTAAAATTAGCATACTAGAAAATTTATTATTGAGAAAAGCATACGGACATTTCACGCGTATAGTTGGCACATGAGCAGCAAAGCAAAACATAAGGCGCAATGCAGTAAATTCATACTGTAAAAGTTTACATTAAAGTCCTGTGTGAAATATGAGGGATACCAATTGAATTTTCATATATAAAATATTGGAAAATCGGCGTGAATCATCACCTGAAGCTACAGTAAATAGTGGTCGCGAGTACAACAAAAATAGTTCCCAGCGAGGGGTTCGAACCCTCGACCTTGAGATTAAGAGTCTCACGCTCTACCGACTGAGCTAGCCGGGATATATTCTAATTAACGTTTGAAGTTACTGATATTCAAAAAATGTATAATCGGATACACCCAAATGTGATATAAGCTACATGTGGCACACTAATTTATTATTATTTAAAGCAATAGAAACAAACTCCTTTGATGATAAAATAATTTTTAAATATAAAAAAAACAATATTACTCTCACAGTCTCGCTTGTTGTGATAGGGTGTCAAACTCTTGGAATCTGTGACGTCGATTATGACATGTAGAAAGATAGGACAATACGACATTGTATGGTTCAAGTTAGCTCAGGCGGTTCCAAGTAGAGATTTGTTTCGGGCGAATCCCCCCCCTTTTTTTTGGGCTGAGCTCTTTTCACTTCGCACCCCGCATTTTCATAATTGGACCATAGGTACACCCTGGAAACAGCCTCAGTGGACATACGGGTGCATTTGAATAGTTCAAAATTCACTGTTTAAAGCAGTGCTGCCGTTACAACCGTGAAGAGGGCGGGCCTGCTTTGGCGCGTTACTTATTTTACCTAAATATGGTAACAAAGTGGTCAAGTCTAGTCCCAACTATAAAATAAGAGGAATGCGGAAAGAGCCCACCCCTGGGCCTCGTCCCCCCTTTTGTTGTTGTTTTTATTCGCCTGAAACAAATCTTCACTTGGTACCGCCTTCTACCATTCTATGGAAGCATGTACATATTAAATATCCCGTGTCGGTGTCATAATCAGTAGCAACACGGATATCTGTTGTTTAATATTTTGTGGCGTATTATAGTATCTACAATCTCGCTTTCATAAATCGTTGCTTCCAAAAACACTACTACGCATCGATAGAGTGACTGTCCAAGCGTTTGAAACAGAATTGCGCATCGGGATTCACGTACTGGTCGACTTCTCGTATAATTGTATATACTTGTTCTGCGATTCTGTAATGAGGTATAATACCTGTTTTTAAATGCTCCTTTTTGTGCAATTGATTTGAAGAGATCACCAGGTGAATAATCCACAGCTATTAACATTGTTTCATTGTAGATACATATTTCGCGATTCGAACAACGCACCGTGCAAAAGTTCACACTCTTCCGAGATCGACCCAGGGTGTCATACGTGACGTCTTTCATACCTGTGATGCATTTCATACCTGTAAATTTGTTTATCGGTGCATGACTAGCATTTTGGTGGATCATTCGTACATCACACAAATTCGCCCGAGTTTACAGCATGGAAGTAGATATTTTGAATGGTTTTTTGATATCATTTGATAGATTGTGCTTTTAGATAGTCTTATTGCATAAAGGAATAAGCATACTGGTATTCTATTTTAATGAGATAAGCATACCGGTAGTTCTAATAGTAAGGATATTATACTAACAATTCTATTCCTGTGAATAGTATCCATATTTGCATATGATCAAGTGGCCCAACGAAGCAAGATATACGGAGCAATTGGCACATAGATACTGTAGAACTTTTTACACCGATCTCATGTGTGAAATATGAGAGTTCCTCTGCAAAAGACAAAGGACCCACTGCAATCAATCGAACCGACTCGTATGTATTGGAACCTCTACGTGTATTTTTATCTAAAATATATAAAATATGGTGGTCGCGCATACGCACTTGCTTGTGATGTGCGTTAAAGCAGATACTGTAAAAAAAGTTCCCAGCGAGGGGCTCGAACCCTCGACCTTGAGATTAAGAGTCTCACGCTCTACCGACTGAGCTAGCCGGGATATGTCAAGGGCTAGCCGGGATATGTCAAGGGCTAGCCGGGATATGTCAAAGATGATATTTGAAACCTTATATTTAAATATGTACTTATTAAATAGAGCACGGTACACGTGACACATGTTTTACTGAAAAAAATTATTTGGGGAAGGGGGGGGGGGTGTGTTCAGGCGGCCACAGTACATCTCCTTCATCACGATTTTTTCTCTTTTTTCAAAATAAATTGCCTTCTGAAATCAAACAACTGTTTGTCATATTTATTCGCCTCCTAAAATATATTTTACGCTAGGTTTTTCTTGCTATGTCGGGCTCACAAATGGTAGTGATATTGTGCGCGTACTAGGTGGCCTGTAATACTTCTGGTGTTTTGTTCTCTAATCATGATTGATAAATTGTTCTTGCTAAACTGGCAATAACTGCGAATTGGCCCTGACATTGGCATTCGTTCTGTACGATGTGTCCCTGAAGCGGGCTCTGGCCGCCGAAATGGGACCTTAAATTGAGATTCCTGTCATGTTGCTGCTTGTGTTCATGTCCGGATTGTTAAATTGTAGTTTAGTGAATAGTAGGACCAGCTTCAAATGATTTGTGAGGAGAGCGGTTGTGAGTATGAGTAGTACTTATCTGACACCGTACAGAAAGGGAGTGAAAAAGATCAATGCAATATCGCCCGGTGCTTGGAACAGCGAAAGATGATGCAGGCTGTCACCACAGGCGATAAAGTTGTGGTGGAGGATGGTTCTTTCACTAAGAAATCGTCAGACAAAACATGTGTTGGAAACTAAGCTATTGCTGAATACAAAGGTCCGATTGGTTTTCAGAATAGAGATATTTAGTGACAATATATTACAATAATAGTAAACAGAACGATATGCAAACATAAACACATCCACACCTGACGACGTCACGTCATGTTTATGACAACTTAAGGTAATACAAGTTGCCTCTATATACACATGTCCATCATACAGTAGCACATGCATCTGCTAGGTATGATATGCCAAGGGCAATGTGGAGACATAGCTGCTGTCCGTAAGAGCAGGCCACCGCCGGCACACATAAGTCAAAAGTGAAACGCTATGGATATCCAAAATATCTATGACCCTATTCTAACTTGTCCTGTTAGTGATACGGGCAAATTATTGTATAAATTGGAGGCTGCTCCGTCAGATATATATACTCGGATCATTTTATTCATGGCATTAATTGAGGACTCAGCTTTCACCTCATATTTCATCGTGAATTATTTCGTCTCCCGATTCGTGTTCGTCTGGTCGCTCGACTGGTTCCGTGCAGGCGAGTGGCGTGTATAGATCCATCGAGTACACACACTTGTTGGGTTCATTCACATTCTCAATTCGAGTGGTGATGTCACAAAGCACTCGTATCTACAGGTACGATTAGTGACAAAGGAGAAACGGTTAGGGGTATGTCGTTGGAACAATCTTTTGTATATTATATTATATATATATATATATATATATATAAATATACACACGTGCTAAGAGAACTGGAAGCAATCGCAGCATGCTCGCATGTGCACAGAAAGATACGCGTAGGCCACCATTAACACAACGACACGCACCGTGGTGGAGCGTGGAGGGCCCTTCCAACACTGCTGCCCGTCGGTGTAGGTCATCTCAGAGTATTGTCCGAGCGGATTCTCATCTGTTTCAGGGCCGCCAGACCACTCAAACGTTTTCCTGTGGTGGCAACGAGGTGGGGGGGGGGTTATGGTTAGCTACTCACCATGGTATAAAAAAGGTGTGTGAGTAGACAATAGCAGGCTATGCGCGGTATTTGAAATAGCCAACAGTGCGTGATGTTGTCAAAAGGACACTATAATGTCTAAGTATCGATCTTTGAATTCACAACCGGTGTCAGAATTGAGGGTCACACATTATACGGGTGGGTCAAAGCTATGCGTCGATACTGACTGAGCGGAGGTTGAGTAGCGCACCTGTGGAGCTGCACTCACAGACATTGTACGAAGCACGTGATATTGTGTGCCAGATATGGGGGCATGCGGCCCACTCTCAACGGATAAGGAGCTGGGCAGAGAGGCATGCCGATTAAGGTTCGGCTGGGGGTTAGGACTTATCTGAGTATCACAATACGCGTGCACGAATAAATCGTACGAGCACCACACGGCCGTTGGGGTGGCGGCCACGCGGCCCTCGGTAGACAGTGCGCCGGTGCATAGCCCTTCAGGTGAACTGGCATGCTAATGTATGCAAGCGATCTGGGTTACTTCCCACTCCACCGCGAGATAATCGGTTTTAGTTGTATAAACCATCGTGCGGCATGTATAAACCACCGTGCGGCATGTATAAACCACCGTGCGGCATGTATAAACCACCGTGCGGCATGACATACCCTAAGTTGATGTTCCCGGGAGTTTGCTTGACCTGATCGAACGGACACAGCTCGTACTCGAAGCTGTAGAAGGTAAAGAAAGGTCAGATGATAATAAGAAGCTGTAGAAGGTAAAGGTCAGATGATAATAAGAAGCTGTAGAAGGTAAAGGTCAGATGACAATAAGAAGCTGTAGAAGGTAAGGTCAGATGATAATAAGAAGCTGTAGAAGGTAAAGGTAAGATGATAATAAGAAGTTGTAGAAGGTAAAGGTCAGATGATAATAAGGAGCTGTAGAAGGTAAAGGTCAGATGATAATAAGAAGCTGTAGAAGGTAAAGGTCAGATGATAATAAGAAGCTGTAGAAGGTAAAGGTCAGATGATAATAAGAAGCTGTCGAAGGTAAAAGTCAGATGATAAAAAGACCAACAGAAGAGTGTCCGACAAGTGTCCGATAATCAGACCATACAGGTAGACGGACATACTACCTGCGTATACTGCTAAACGAGGCATATTCTGCTGAGTGCAGGCTCTAACAGCGTCTATGCATACACCCGTCCACAGATGAGTATTCTAGGAAGGTAGTAGTTGATCATATTCTGCTGAGTGCAGGCTCTAACAGCGTATATGCTGATAACAGACGCTGCACTCGTCCACAGATGAGTATTCTAGAAAGTTAGTAGTTGAATGGCTCCTGCAATCGGGTAGAGTGCTGAGGGAGCATTGAACAACAGGCAAACAAGTACTACCCTCCGCCACCCATTAGGCGTATACAAAGCATGCTGGTGCGGACACGCATCAATTACCAGGACATAAAACTTGCCAGACTCTGAAGACAAACAACACGTATGAGCGCTCCAGTAATAGCTGTCGATCCCACACTGTGCGACGCTCACGGTAACACAATACAAACGCAATGGGTAGGCTCCTTTGATAGAGCTCGTGACAGTATGGACGGGCTGTTTTCAGGTTAATATAATCTCAAGGATACGTAGACTCTCGACAGGTGCAAATGAGGCCAAATCAGGACACCCGCACTACACCAGTCACCTACGTGTCACCCTCGGCTTTGTGTTTGAGGCACTCAAGTGATAGTTTGAACCATTCCTCGTTCTCTCCGTAGTCGATGTCCGCATCCAGTTGCTTCTGTACTCATACGGAAACCAAATTGCACTATAATTTAGCTGCCAAATTGTATTGTAAATAAATGTTCAAGGCTGATAAAACAAAAGCCACACATGCTGTTATATCGCCAATGGCGAAATGGCGATATGATAACCAAGAGAAGAACGAAATACTCAAAACTCTAAGGTCCTCTGGAATGTATACTGCACTTTGAGTGGAATGGGGACTTAGCGCAAGTCAAGAGATCATGCACACGCCTCGAGCCTTCTCACTACAGGCTTATGGAGCGAATAAAGTTGTGCGATATAGACATCAGAGTCTGCTTTGATGAACAGGATACAACCAAAACCAGCCTAGATTTTGCTTCAGCAAATCTACGCCGAACACAGGACACATATGATTACAGTACAAACCTCTCAGGCCCTGGACATGACTTGCACATGGCTATAGTCTTGATTTATATGTAAATATCTGAAAATACATGTACATAAATTATTCTGTGTGTGCATTCGTTCGAATGTATGTGCAGCTTACCCCGTGTTTATAGGCAGATACACACACAAATTCCCATAACCACACACTACACACCACACCCACACCCCTACCTCGAGCTTGCGCAGCTCCACTTCCAGGGGCGATTTCTTATACCGGTGTTCTCTAACCTGCTTCTCCAAGTCTCGGATAGTCAGCTTGATGTCTTCCTGCGGCACCTCATCTGCATCCGCCTCATCCTCATCGTCAAAAAAGTCTTCGTCGTCGCTGTCGGCGTCTGTTGTTGCGGCCTTCTCGGCTGAGTCATCGGACGCGTCATCGCCATCGTCTGTGTGGAGGTAGAGGGCAAGGTCCCATTGTAGTGTGTGTGTTTGGGCCAAATACATTGATCTAGTAGTCTGTCGGAGTGGGCGACGTGTGTGGGTCTATTTGTGGATGTGAGGACGGTAGACAGTGGTACCTCGTACGGGCAAGAGACGCTTGTAACATGTCTCCGGGTCGTGGTAGGAATACGTACACTTGTGCGGTGACGTTCACCAGAAGACATATGGCGACTACGCCACACGAGCAAGCGTGTGACCACACACATGCGTGTTAAACTAAACCACTCGCCAATGCAGAGGTTAAGCCTCAGGTACATACGAGTAAAGAGTACGTAGGACCTGCATACTCTACACACTCGCCTCGGTGACGAGTGCGAAGCAAATGGTGCGTTGCGCGACACTTGGAAGGACTTGTCACACTTTGCATTGGCATGTACACGCCATTCGCACACAACAACCGAAAGGGCGGACCAAGAAGCACTGGGGGTACAAAGATACACCTGCGATTGCACAAGACAGCGATACGGCCCTAACTAAACGAATGCCGCTCGCTACAAATAGATATAAATAGGTCACTGGCAGACGTCGTATGTGACGTATACACATACACCCACACTCGAAACTGTATGTGAGATACACACACACACGCACAATCAAAACTGTATGTGAGATACATACATACACTCGGGCTCGAAACCATGTGATACATGCATACACCCAAGCTCCAAACAAACAAACAGGTACATGCCACTTGCAGGCGAGGGGGGTGGGTTGTTGGGTGAGACATTTGCAGCAGGCGCAGTGGCAGTGGGACGGGTCAGAAACGACGTGACAGACGCCCAGACATTGGAAGCTGCGAGGCTCAAGTACTGTTTGACAATGTGCTTCCAATCGTCACGGGATGGTGCTTGCATACCCGATGGCGCTTGCTCGTCCGCGACCTCTCTATCAAACGGTTAGCAACAGGCGACGGGGATGCAAAGGGAGGGGTGTGGTGGATGGGATCATGAGGCACGCAGATATTCGGTGAGCGGTTAAACGTGTTTGTGTTGTACTGCATGTTGGTATGCGAGCTTGTTGCCGTATATTTAGGGGTGGCATTTGAGGGAGAATGCCCAATGGTATAGTGTAGAGGATAAAGCATTTATATAAAGACAACGAAACATGGACGATTCCTGTGGTGGAAGCGAATAGATTATATATCTGATGAACAAAATCTCATGGCCAAAAAAAACAAACAAAAACCCCATGACCAATGCACGGTTGCTATCAGCTAAACGACCTATAAAGCCACTGGTAGACATTGACTGATGTATGTAGGGACAGACCACCAAAATGGAGGACTCTAGCACACAGTAAATGACATCAGCCAAACCTTGCAGCAGCACCGACGCTTGAGACTATGCCAACACAAGTGGGTTCAATCGGTACATATGGCATACAAGGAGCAGAATACGTTAGAACAGCATTCTGATTCGTGATGGCGATGTGGTAGTACATAGATAGACCGTATCCCTGAAACACGCATTGGCGTTTGCTTCTGAGACAGGTATAACGGAGCACTAAGAAGGAAGCCGTCACAGGCTAGAGCCCCTGCGAAAGGAACATACATATATACATACACGCATATATATATGTATATATATATATATATTTATATATATACATATATATATATATATATATATATATATATATATATATATATATATATATATACATACACACACACT